AAGCGGCATATGAATGCAGGGAATTGCTTAAATATTTCTTCATGGGTAACTGTCCGTTCGCGGATGCGTTCACGTCATATTGTCTCAAATATGTATCTTTGATGAGCATGAAGAAAAGTCGATATAAGAAATAGGGTTCCACTGCATTTTATTACAATTTTCTTTCGATTTGAGTGGAGTATTTCAAAATGCGCACGGTTACCTCTGCCATTTATTTCAAATGGCAGGCGTTTTGATAGTTATCATTATCCCTTTAGCTGACTTCGGGATTCACAGAGAGAGGAGGAGGAACATCAAAGGGACAAAAAGTCGAGAGGGGAGAAAAAATAATAATTAACAGATTTAAAGGTGACAGACAGACACAAAGGCAGAGAAAAGGTAAGATGAGTACTGTAAAAGTGATGGAATATGACATACAGTGGGATGATGGTAGTTTGAAGTCAAAAGTCAACTACCGGTTAATAGAATTTTTTTGCCGTATGAGTATACGTTGCCCAGGCTGCACCACGTGGCGATAAGTTACCTCTACTATAACGGGTGTAAACTTCATTGTGATCCTTCTCAGATTTAAGTGACTTAATGGAGAAAATGAACGCCATTGAGAATGCTAGTATGAAAACAGCCCTTACTAGATCTGAAGTAGCCAATTTAGAAGTTATTCAGTTATCAAATTATGGACACTAATGAACTGGAATCAGATTGTGGAATCTAACATTGTGGCTTACAGCTATCAGCAGAAAATATCAAATGTTCCATAAAGTATGGTGCAATGAGTTGTGCAGACGGTGTATTGGATAAACCATTGTGGGAGGTGGAAGGAAAGTGTGCGAGCAGATATGGGACAAGTATTTGTCTACATGCGTGTATTGAGTTGAACTACAAAAACACTGAGCAAGAAGGCACGTGAAGGGGTATGAATGCAGGTGCACTTTAGTTGGATCGATGATGTCTCCGCATGATGATTGCCTTCGAATGAGAAGTGTTGTTATGTTGTACGCTGCCATCTTTAGCATTATTTTCTGAAACTCCCCCATCGTATGTTTTCACTTAACATCATTATAACTTGCTACTTCAAAGTCCAATGTCTATTTTACCACTTTTTTCCAGTCAATTCTCTTATGTCAACTTTGAAGAAGCGATTGAGTGGAAATTTCGGCGAGGAATCAAGTAGTATTGGAGCCTGCGCTACTCCACGGACTCTCGAATGTGGTTCAAAGCTAGTTACCGTGGTGGCAAAGGGCTCCAAAACTGTTCTACAGATGCCTCGAGGAAATATTGAAGATATTCATCCCAGAGCTCTGGTGTTCAATCAACTTACACCTGCCTTTGATGAGTAAGATATTCCAATGCTCTGTATAATTGTCTATTAGTTCCTCTTTCCATTTTCCTCTAACAATCAAATGAACTTCTTATTATTAATATGCTGGATGAATTCTAATTATCAATCTTATTTTTAGACTTCGCCACGCGGAAGTGATTGAGATAATGAGACGCCATCGTATCAACTTCAACCTTCTTTACGATTATTGTCCTCGTAAATTCCTCTCGAACATTAACAACTTTGTGAATTCAATCTCATCTCCCGACCATATCACACTCCTGGTTTCTGATTTAAGGTAAGGGATTTAATCTTTTAAGTCGGTGTCACCTCCACTCCAGCAAACATAAATGAAAACGAGATGTGTAGAAAGCGTCACATGCATTTGGAGTTATTGGAGAACATTGGAGGAAAGTTAGAAAGCAGAAAATTGGGGGGGGGGGGAAATATTTGTAGATTGGCATGCCTCAAAGCCACTTCAGCATTTTACTAAAAGTTATCATTCTTTGTGATCCTTTAGCACAATGAAAGTTTTGCATAAGGCGCGCTTCCTTCTATTTGAATCAAATACTGTGAACACTCCTTTTACTAGTCTCGCAAAGTTTTGATCGCTATTTTCCCCCAGTAATTTTATTACGTTGCTCTCTCTTTTAGTGAGGAAGATATCACCAAGACTGAATACAATGGATTCTTTGGAGCTAAGCAACTCTCACCA